GGGAGCGGCTGATGGTCCTGTGGGAGCTCTCACTGCTACTGGCAGCGTCCAAGTGGTCATTCTGGGCGGAGACTTCATTTAGATCATCGATGTGGATGGACAGTCCAGAGGGGCTGACAGTGACCTGGACTCCATGTCCAGATTCCTCATGGAAACTGTTAAAGACACCAACTACACAGTGTCTTCAACACCCCTTGCAGATTGAGCGCAGCGTAGATACACCTGGTTGTAGCCAGACAGATCGAACCAATCAAGGATACATTTCCTGTTTATGCCCCCGCACATTCTCGGTCAGATCCACCAATGTCACGCTGGTGCTCTTCTCCAAGCACTGCCTCCTACTGGCCGACTGTCACCTACAGCATGACCAACATGTCAGCAAGGCAACACGGAAGCTGTATGTGAAACTGTTGATCCCAGAAAACATTGAGGAGCTCAAAAGGGATTAGACAGTGAACCATGAGCCTCTCCTCGAGTCTCTGGGGGTCTGGTGGGAAACAGTCAAAGGGAATGTCAACAGGTTCTTCATCCTCAAAGTTGTTCATCACGTGAGAGAGATGGGGAAAACTGTCCAAACTCCAGAAAAGCATACAAGACCTACTCCTGCTGATGATGGGGGTTGCTGTCATGGAGGATCTCCAGAAGGTGAAAAGCCAGCAAGCCTCTCTGTTTTCCTCCAGAGGCCTCTAAGATAACCTTCCGGTCCAGGATCTGCTCTGTGGAGCAGGATGAGACGTGTTCACATTTCTTCTTCCAGAAGGTGCACAGGGAGAGCTCTGTGCTCAGCAGCCTGAAGGAAGAAAATGGCTCAGTAACATCATCTCAGACTGACATGCTGAGGATCAGCAAATCCTTTTATGCAGTCTGTATGACACGGTGCCCACAAACAGTGCAGCCTTCCAGTTGTTCTTACTCTCTATCACAGAGGTCTTAGACGACATTATGCTGTCATCTCGGAATGAGCTGGCTAAAACCCTTGAGTCCTTTAGGAAGAAATAAAACTCCCGGAAGTGATACCTTACCAGCCGGGTTGTACTCGGCTCAGTGGGACGTGATTGGCCAGGACCTGCTGGAGGTATATGACAACATTCTTCTGGCAGGTACCATGAGCAAATCCATGAGGAAAGGTATCATCACCCTCATCTACAAGCGGAAGGTGGGAGGGAGGAAATTAGAAATTAGTGACTAATATCATTGCTGAATGCAGACTACAAAATGCTGTCTAAGGTCATTGCCAACCAGGTCAGGTCTGCCCTGGGATCAGTGATTTACCCTGACCAATCCTGTGCCACACCGGGCAGGATGATCTCTGAGAGCCTCACACTCCTCAGGGATACAATCGCCTACGTGTGGGACAGGGGGGTGGATGCCTGCCTCATCAGCCTGGACCAGGAGAAGGCCTTTGACAGGATATCACACACCTACGTGTGGGACATGCTCTTCAAAATGGGCTTTGGGGAGGGAACCTGCAATTGGATCCGACTGCTCTACACCAACGTAGTCTCAATCAATGAGTGGGACTCAGAAAGCTTCCCAATCCGATCCAGAGTCAGGCCGGGCTGCTCAGTCTCTCCTGCCTTGTTTCTGTGCTGCATTGAGCCCTTTGCTGAGTCCATCAGGAAGTTTGGAACCCAAGAGGGGTGGGGGTGATTGTTCCAGGCAGCGGAGGCCTGAAGGTCAAAGCCTCCCCGTACGTGGATGATGTTGCCATTTTTCTGCTTGAGTCGGCTGTCAGTGCACAGACTCAGGAGCATCTGTCACTAGTTCAAACTGGCCTCGGGGGTGGGGACAAGGTAAATTGAAGCAAGAGCGAGGCCATGTTCTTTAGGAGCTGGGCCGACCTATCCTTCATTCTCTTCACCGTCAGGACAGACTACCTGAAGGTGCTGGGAGTATGGTTCAGGGGGGGCCAGAGGGTGCACAAAATCTTGGGAGGAGCGCATCGCCAAAGTGAAGCAGAAACTGGGTTTTTAGGAGCAGTGCTCCTTCTCCATTGCAGGTAAAAACCTGGGGGTGTGAGGCACTCTCTCTAATAGTAGTACATGGTGTGAGTCTGGCCCATTCCCTGAACCTGTGCCATCTTCCACTTCATCTGGACATCTAAGCTGGACTGTCCACAAGAACACTGTACAAAACTCTGGATAAAGGGAGTAAGAACATACCCAATGCCACCCTCATCCTGATGGCCCCAAATGTGTTTGGCCGTAACAAACTGTGCATACAGCCCCAGTACACAAACATCAAAGATCACTATGTACTGAGGTTCTACCTGTCCCCGTGTCCTGAAGGATGGGACTGGCCTCATTGCTGTGGAACGCTCCAAGATGTCGGACTGTTCTGTATCACCCGTCCTTTGTGGAGAAATTTGCAAAGAAAAACACCTTTGAGCACATTTATCAGGCAGTGATCAGCACATAGCGTCCTTGAGACCCTGAGGGGAGAAGAAGATGGGTGGATCCTGTCATGTTATTCCCTCAGCAGACTGTCAAAGTCATTCAGCAAAATGCCTCATCACCACAACTTTCCAACAGAGACCAAGACATCACTTGGTGGGTGGTGAGAAGGACACTACCTGTAAGACTCTTCATGTGTATCCAATGCACACTGCCTTCGAAGCAGCTGCGGGGGGGGGGGGGGGGGGGTGGTGGTGGTGGTGTGGGGAAGACTGTCACACAGCTCCCGCTGGAATTTGTGTTCGCAAAGGAAATGTGGAGAAAGATGCAGCGGCTTGTCCCGAGCAGCTCCGTGATGCAGGACTGTGCGCTTTGCCAGCTGTGCCCCGGGAGACACACCTAGACAAATATTGACTGTCCCTGGAGCACCATCAACTCAGTGAAGGATGCTGTTTGGTCTGTCTGAAACTTGTGTGTCTTCCAGAGCAAGGAGGTGACCCTGACCGAGTGTTGCAGACTGGCACATTCCATGGCCCAGGACTATGTGCTGAGGGACACACTAAAGCTTGGAGGAGCTGCTGCTGAGGCGCAGTGGTCTGAGGTCTTCATGCTGAAGGTAAATGGGGGTCTGTTCAGTTATCAGTTAATATATATCACTGGACTGTTACTCCAGAGACCCAGATAACATTCTGGGGACCTAGGTTTGAAGCCCACTACAGCAGATGGTGGAATTTGGAATTCAGTAAAAATAAAAAAATCTGGATTTAAGAGTCTAATGATGATGATTGTTGATTGTCAGAGAAACCCATCTGGTTCACTAATGTCCTTTACAGAAAGATACTGCCATCCTTACCAGGTCTGAACTATATGTGACTCCAGACCCACAGCAATGTAGTTGATTCTTAACTGCCCTCTGGGCAATTAGGGATCATCCTGTGAATGAATAAAATATGTAAATATAATCTCATACAAGTGAGAGATGCCTTTGGTCTGTTTGTTGGACAGATTCAAGCTCCAACATGCACTCGTTTCCTCATATGCTACTGTAGAGGACTGAGCTGTGTTTGTGACAATGTATGTAAAAAGACATTTTTATGAATAAAGTATATGTTTTAAATTTAAAAAAAGACCTTTTGACAGTGTGGCATGCCCTCGCGCAGACCCTCCAACAGTGCAGCGCCAAACATCTGACAGCATTCCCTCCATATTGTTCGCTGGGCCCAGGTAATGCCCGCCCCCCCCACCTCTCCCAATCACAGTATCTTGATTGAATCCAACATCACAAAACCTGATCCTTCAAACACTCTATCCTTCTAATGGTCAAGGCCCCTTCCCCATTTCCTGCTTGGATTACAGTTTCCTACCGTTACCTGTGAGCTAGGGGAACCACTGCCAATCCCCACGTTATTGTCTATATTGTGTGCCTGCCATGTGGTGTTATTGGTGCATTGGGACTAATTCCTCTGGCCCCATATTATTGCTTTTCACATCAGCAGAGAGAAAGGATTGGTGAAATATATGGGATTAGAGGGCAACAAATCCCCAGGGCCTATAGGAGGTAGCTGCAGTGACAGGGGATTGTCTTGTGGTTTTCTAAAATTCCTAAATTCTCCTAGTGGATTGGAAGTTAGCCAAGTGATACCATTAGTCAAGAAAGGAGCAACAGGGTTAAGAAGATTTTACAGTAAATAAATTGCAGTTGACAAACATTTTGGAGTTTCTCCAGATTATTTAACAAATGGAGTACATAAAGGGGAGTAAATAAATGTAATATACTTGAATTTCCAAACTGCAAAAACAATGTCATGATAATGACAGTGGACGAGCAATTCTACATGATGGGTTGTGGAATCTGGAATTAAAAGGTCATCTCATTTGAACAGATGTAGCAAGTCAAGACTGGATTTTCATAACGTGGGCCATCTGCAGAATGGTACTCCAACATAATGTCATGTCATGTTACATTCTCCACTCTACCACCAAGCCTGGAGATCAACCCTGGTTCAATGACAAGCGCTTCAGGGCACACCAGGAGTATGAGGCACATGTAAAAGTGTGAAGCTACAAAAACAGAACTATTACACGCCAGACAACATAAGGGGCAAGTGATAGACAGAGCTAAGCGATCACACAACCAACAGATCAGATCTAAGCTCTGCAGTCCTGCCACATCCAGTTGTGAATGGTGGTGGACAATTAAACAACTCACTGGAGGAGGAGGTTCCACAAATATCCTCATCCTCAATGATGGAAGAGCCCAGCACATCAGTGCAACAGATAAGGCTGAAGCATTCACAACCATCTTCAGCCAGAAGTGCTGAGTGGATGATCCATCTCAGCCTCCTCCAGTGGTCCCCAGCATCACAGATGCCAGTCTTCAGCCAATTCAATTCACTCCATGTGATATCAAGAAACAGTTGGGAGCCCTGGATACTGCAAAGGGGATGGGGGAGGATGAGGGGGTGAGGGGAAGTGGTAGAGGAGAAGTGAGGAGAGGTGAAAAGGGAGGAGGGACCACGAGAGGAGTTACAGGATTGTAGAAGAGATGGAAACTGTTAGCGAAGAGAGGAAAATTCTCTACAAAAAAAAAGTCAGACGAGGATCACATTTTTAATTTGAGTAAAGGAAATGAGAAATATTTATTGGATACTTGGTAATTAAAAATTCCACTGCACAGAACTCAGCCTTTATAGGAAATACAGAGCTGATGATCCCAGTACATACAGCTATATATCTCAGCAGCTTAGCATTCTAGTCATTCAACGCTAAAGCACTTGGATTAATTTGTTACTTTGATTTATTCAAGAGTTTGAGTCATAGTTTGGCAGCAAACCCCAGCACAAATACTGGAAGTACAGCTTTGATCAAAAGGGTTCCCAGAGATGCATCTTAGATGACCCCTCTCTCTCTCACTTATCATTCTGCATCATCAAGGAAATTATGGAGAGACTGACTGTTTCTGCAAACTGCAGCTTTTGGTGGCTCTGATCTCCTTTCTAAAGAGCATCTCTGCCAGCTACATCTACCTACTGTACTTAGGGCAGCTGGCATCAGAGCTAGAGAGAGGAGACTGGGAGAGGCTCCTTCATGTGACTTGTAACTCATTGAAACTATACCTTTGCTCAGTGAAGTCGCTGACAGATAATCAGGAAAATAACCCACAAGAAATACAAACAAAGGAGAGACAGTGTGCGGAAAGGGATGGCAGGGAAGATAACGACACAGAACAATCGCTCATTCCATGGGGAAGTTGCCATCATGCCCGTTCTGTTCCAGTTGAAATATTAATTTTGACTTCCACAAGGCAGAGCATCCAGAGCATGAAGGATAGCCAGAGAGAGAAGAAGGATCAGCATTCGGGGACTGTCCAGCACAAGTCCAGGGGCACCACAGGTGGTCACATTACCTGACACATTAACAGAAAGATGAGATGAGAAAATATGACTTTGTATTTGCAACAATACCATTGGTTCCTGCAAAATGACAACACCACTATCCATCACACATAGAATGGCAGAACAGTATTGTAGGGGAGGCCATTTGGTCCATCACATTTCACAATCTCAGTCACACTTCACTTATCCCTCCACATACTGCTGCAATATTTCTCTCCTTTGTGTATTTATCCAAGTCCATTTGAAAGGCTAAAACTGAATCTGTTTCCACCACTAAACTTTAAACACTGGTTGCTTTAAACAGACTGCCCTCATTTTGTCACACTGCTTTTACAAATTACCTCATTCTGCAGTGACGCAATATGAGCTCCTCAGTAGCTGATGCTCTAGAAGAATCCTAAACTGAAATCTCAGTGCAAGTGAATTTATGTTTGACTTTTTCTGTCAACTTTAAAACAACTTCCAGCTCAGGTTTCAAAATAAAAACAGGAAGTGATTAACAGGCTGATAACACAGTGTGGAGCTGAAGGAACACAGCAGGTCAGGCAGCATCAGAGAAGCAGGAAAGTTGATGTTTTGAGTCAGGACCCTTCCTTCATTCACTCTCACTCAATTTACAGTTGCACAGAGTCAAGATCCAACCCTCTTAATTGCCTGTGACTAAGACTGAAAGCTATTTAAAGAAACTCAGAAGTGCAAGTCACAAAGTAAAACTCTCTCTGCACCAGCCCAGCAGATATTCTCAGGACAGCTATAGCATTGGACTAGATACAAAAGTAAAGCTCTTTACACTGTCACCTTTAAACACGCATAGAATCAGTACAGCTCATAAGAACATAATAGGAGTAGAAGGTCATTCAGCTCCAGTTTTGCCCCATTATTTGATTGGATCATGGCTGATCTTCCTCAGGCCTGAACTCAACTTTAGTGAAGCTCCTCATAGCCCTCAATTCCTTGCTATGTCAAAAAAACCTACCTCTGCCCTCTGTAGATAATTTATGTGATCTAGCCTCCTCAAGTGTCTGGGGTTCAGAACTCCAGATGTTCACAACTCCAGATGTTCACTACCTTCTGGGAGAAGAAATTCCTTCACATCTTAGTTTTAAACAAATGTACCCTAATTTTGTAACTATGCGTCCTAGTCAAAGATACATCCACTGGTGGAAACATCTTCTCAACATCTCCCCTGCGAAACCACCTCAAAATCTTGTATCTTTCAATAAGATCACCCCTCATTCTTCTAAACTGTAATGAATAAGGGCCAAGTCTGTCTAGCTGTTGTTGATAAATCAACACTTTCATTCTAGGATAGTAGGAACTGCAGATGCTGGAGAATCCGAGACAACAAGGTGCAGGGCTGGATGAACACAGCAGGCCAAGCAGCATCATAGGAGCAGAGAGGCTGACGTTTCGGGCCTAGACCCTTCTGCTTTCCGGAGGGACAACTCTCTCCGTGACTCCCCCGTCCGCCCCACACTTTCATTCTAGGATCAGCCGAGTGAATCTCCTTTGACCTGCCGCTAATGCCAGTCCATCCTTTCTTAAATACAGGGACCAAAGCTGTCCACAGCCTCAGCAACACCCTGTACAGTTGGAACAAGACTTCCTCATCCATGAACCACAAGAAATTAGCATTCAAGCTCAGTGGCTAATGGAGATGGCAAATCTAATGGACTAAGGAATGGAAGTAAAAACAGATTTTGCCAAAACTGTGCAAGGCACTCATCAGACCCCAGCTGGATTACTGAACTGTATTGGTTCCTTTATTTAAGGAAAGACGTATTAGCATTGCAGACAGTCCAGACAAGGTTCACTAGGCTGATGCTGAGAACGAAGGGACTGTCTCAAGAGAGCTGGAGAAAGTTGGGCCTGCATTTGCTGGGATATAGAAGAAAGAGGGGTGACCTTATTGCAACATACAAGATACTTAAGGGACTTGACAGGGTAGATGTGGAGATGCTTTTCCCTTTGTGGGGGAGTCCAGGATCAGACTGCACTATCTTAGAATAAAGGGTTGCCCATTTAAGACAAATGGGAAGAGGAATTTCTACTCGGAGGATTGTGAATGTGTGAAATTTTTTCAACCAAAGAGAGCTGTCAAAGATGGCTCATTAAGTACATTCAAGGCAGAGAGAGACAGATTTTTAATCAGTCAGGGAATTAAGGGTAATAGGGAAAGACTGGAAAGTGGAGTTGAGAATTCTCAGATCTGCCATGATCAAACTGAATGTTGGAGCTGACTTGGTGAACTCAATGGCCTACTTCTGCTGTTATGAGATATGGTGTTAAAACACCAACCACTTAGCAATAAAGGCCACAGTTCCACTTGCCTTCTTAATTACTTGCTGCACCTCCAAGCCAACTCTGTTTCCAGATCACTCAGCACTGAGTTTGTTGTAATCTTCCCATTTAAAGAATTCTTCACTTTCCTACATTAAACTACACCTGCCAAGTTTTTGCCCACTCACTTAAAGGTCCCATAACCCTGTGCCTTATATCATCTCAACATTCCCTCCCACCTATTTTTGTATTGTACATCGATCAGGGTTAGAGATAGAGTAAAACATCTGCACACTGTCCCCATTAATCACTCCAAGACAGGGAGAGTATGGGTACAGAGAAACAGTAAAGCTACCTTTACTCTTAAAATGGATATAAATGTCCCTCCACTCAAACTGAAAAGTAAGCTCCCTTGATACTGTCCCCATCAAACACTCAAGGACAGGGGCAGCACAGTGTTAGATAAATGGTAAAGTTAAGCAAGGTGATTTCATGTCTGTTAACTATAGCTAATAGAAAAGCTCTTCTTCTAAATATTGTGTATAACAAATGCAACATTTGACATGACTACACCAATAAAGATGCTGGGTGTGAAGTTCACTAATTTTGTCTAGCTGTGAGAAATTTCCTGTGATAGACTTTCAGAGTTACTGGATCTGGTGTTAATATTGTTTGGGACAGCAGGTGATGTCTCTCTAGCCCACAGTGACAACATAAGAATTCTTCTGTCCAAGTGTCCATTCCCTTCTCCATCAGGGAGACGCCATGCACAGGGCCCTTGGATGGGGTGCCACAGGGTTTGGTCCTCAGGCCACAACTACTTACAATCTGTGTCAATTTCTTGGATGTGGGGACAGGAGGTGCTCTAGCGAAATTAGATGACACCAAAATAGGTGGGAAAGTAAGCTGCAATAAAGAAATAAGAAATTTATAAATGGATATGGATAGGTTAGATGAATGGGCCAAAATTTGACAGATGAAGTTTAATGTGTAAAGTGAGAGGTTATCTATTTTGGTCAGAAGAATAGAATGACAACTTATTATCAAAATGGAGAGAAACTTCAGAGTGCTTTAGTGCAGAGGGATCTGGGTGTCCTTATGCATGAATCACAGAATGCTAGTATGTAGGTATAGCAGGTAATATGGAAGGAAAATGGATTTTTTCATATTTATTGAAGGAATAAAGTATAAAAGTAGGAAAGTGTTACTACAACTGTACAAAGCATTAGTTAGACCGCACCTGGAGCTTTACATACAAATTTGGTCCCTTTTTTAAGGGAGGCTGAATGGCCCACTTCCACTCCTAGCTCTCATGACTCCTCATACTGACAATTCCTCATGTGTTAAAGAAGATATTCTTACCATGCTTCACTGAAATTGTTTTATTGGCATTCTTCTTTGTTTCGCTATCAGAGTGAAGATGGCATGTGTATGTACCATCATCAGAATCACTGAATCCAGTCAACATTAGCGTCAAGCAAGTGTCCTTCAAGATTGCTTTTGCACGATCCTTGTAAATGGTAGTTATCGCATTGGTGTGGATTGTGCTTGCGAGCACAAATGTGCTTTTCTCCTTAGAGAGACTCCACTCATACTGGATGGCGTTACTGCCAGTCTTCTTGTAGGCGCAATCAATACGCAAATCATTGGTTTTATTGGTACATGCGTACAAGTCTGTGATTTCCAGGCCCTCTGTCATGGACAACACTGAAAAACAGGAATAAAATGGCCAGTAGTGTTAATAATTTAACATTGCAATTTAAATGCTGATATCTGTGAAGTGTAGGACACCACAATGCTATTAGGGAGGGAGTTCCAGAATGTTTACCCAGTGACACTGATGGAACAACGATGTAGATCCATGTCACATTCAGATAGAAGCTTACAAATGGTGACATTTTCATCTGTCTGGTGCCCTTCTGATTCTAAGTGGGAGAGCATGTGGATTTTGAAGGTGCTATTGAAGCAGAATGAGTTGCTGCAATGCACTTTGTAGATGGCACCCCCTGTACATTGGTGCTGAAGAGACCCAGTGGGATGAAAGTATATAGTGCCAGTCAACAGACTGCTTTGCCCTGGATGGTGTCAAGCTTCTTGAGTGTTGTTGGAGCTGCACCCATCCAGGTAAGTCACACTCCTGACTTGTGCCTTGTAGATGGTGGACAGGCTTTGGTGAGTCAGATGGTGCGTTACTTACTGCAGGTCTCCCAGCCTCTGACCTGCTGTTGTCACCATAGTATCTATATAGCAAGGCAAGTTCAATTTATGGTCAATGATAACTCCCAGAATGTCGATTGTGGGGGATTTTGGGATGATAATGCTATTTAAAATACCAAAAGAAGACAGTTGTACTATGTCTCGGAAATGGTCATTGCCTGAAACTTTATAATTACGTGATGGTTTCAAAGTATCATCACAACTCCCTAGCACAATGACCGAGTGTGAAACACACAAGGTCCATGAATGTTTACTCGGCTGTGATCAAACATTATTGAATAGGCAACTGACAGCAGAGCTGCTGGTTCCATTTACTGGCCCAAATTCTTCCCCTTTCTAAAGTTGGGTCCTGTATGTTAGAGTGAGTTAAGAGAAAAGAAAGATTTGTTTTTAATTTCAGCGATCGCAGCAAAACCTTGCAGCACAGATAATTTTAGGTAGATTTGCTGAATTTTCTGGTTTACCCAGACACACACCCAGAATCTGCATCAGAGTGGAGTGTACAAACTCTGATTGTGTGTGCGTGTGCACATGTGTGCGCGCGTGCTGTGGTCTCCTACCTGCCAGGACCAACACTATCAGCAGCTGGTTCATCTTCAACAAAGGCCAATCGATATCTGTCCACAAGCCAATCACAGCCCCTGTGAAATACACCAAACCCTGTCAGAAACAATGGATAGCGGCTCCATTCCCTCGGTTGCTTCCAGCTTCTCACAGTAGCTTCAGAAAGAGAGAAGACCGTAAAGCTCCCCTTGGGACAAGTGCAGTGAGGGGGATCCAGCCACACCAAACTCTCTTAAATGTTTTCATTAAGTCCCTGACTAGCTCTTCCATGGCTCTTCCCACCTCTCAGTCAGGCTCATGGGTTCAATAACCACTTTAAAAAATTTCAGCACATTAACCAGAGCAGCTTCCAGTGCAATACCGAGAGAGCGTCGCACTGTCGCAGGGTCAGTGTCGAGGGAGCGCCGCACTGTCAGATGAGAAACTATACCAATGCCACAACTTCCCTCTCAAATGGGTGCAGATAAACTTATAGCAATTTGCTTTCGTTTAAAAAAAGGGCGAATTCTCTACAGAAATCAAAGTTAACCTTTTAGGTCTGGTGACCCTTCCACAAAACTGTTTGAAAACAGAACGTTAACTTCGATTTCCCTTCACAGATGCTGCCAAATAGCAACTTCTTTTCCAGCAACTTCTGTTTTTGTTTCTGATTTACAGCATCCGCAGTTCTTTCGGTTTTTATTGAAGAGAATTCTCTGTTGGGTCCAGTATCAGTACCTCATTATTGTTTTGAGTTTAGTTTTGACAATTTGCTGCTGTGTTTCCCATATTACAATGGCGACAACATTTTTCAAGTTGGCATAATTCAATTTAGAACATTTGAAGGTCCATAAGACACTCACGGACTTGGTCTCCACAGCCCTCTGTGGCAATGGGTTCCATAGATTTACTATCCTCTGGCTGAAGAAATTCCTCCTGATCTCAGTTCTAAAGGGTTGCCCCTTAACTCTGAAGCTGTACTGTTGGGTTCTAGTCTCTCCTACTAGTGGAAACATATTCTCCATGTCCACTCTATCCAGGCCCCTCAGTATTTGTGGAGAAGCGAAAAATATGTTTCCATTAGTTGGAGAGTAGGATCCAAGGGCACAGCCTCATTCTTCCAACAAGGTGCATAACCTCACTCTTTCCCACACCGTATTTCATCTGCCACTTCTTTCTCTAACTTGCTGGTTATTTCCTCAAAAGAATTCCAACAGATTTTTCAGACATGACCTCTCCTTAACGAAGCCATGCTGACTCAGCTCTATTTTACCGTGCACTTCCAAGTACTCCACAATAATGGACACTAAAATCTTCCCAACAACCGAGGTCAGGCTAACTAGCCAATAGTTTCCTGTCTTCTGCCTCCCTCCTTTCTTAAGTAAGGGCATTCCAATAGCCATTTTCCAGACCCTCCCTGACTCCAATGATTCCTGAAAGATCACCACTACTGCCTCCACATTCTCCTCAGCTATCTCCTTCAGAACTCTGGGGAGTAATCCATCTGCATCTGGGTTATTTATCTACCTTCAAACCTTTCAGCTTGCCTAGCACCTTCTCCTTAGTGATGGCCGCTACACTCACTTCTGCCCCCCTGACTGTCTTGAAATTCTGGTATGTTGCTGGTGTTTTCCACCGTGAAAACTAATGCACAGTACCAATTCAGTTCCTCCTCCATTTCTTTGTTCCCCATTACTACTTCTCCAGCCTCATTTTTCAACCACCCAATGTCCATTCTTGCTGCTCTTTTTTATATACCTAAAGAACTCTTGCAATCTTCTTTTACATTACTAGCTAACTTACCCTCATATTTCATCTTTTCCCACTTATTGATTTCTGGTTGTCCTGTGCTGGTTTTTAAAAGGCTTCCCAACTCTCTGGCTTCCCACTAATCTTCACCACACTGTATACTTTTTCTTTTGCTTTAATACTGTCCCTGACTTCCCTTGTCACCCGCGGTTGCCTCACCCTCCCCTTAGCATGTTTCTTCTTCCTTGCGATGAATTACTGCTGTGCCTCTTGAATAACTCCTACAAGTTCCTGCCATTAGTGTTCTTCCCTGCAGGTTCCTCTTCCAATCAGCTCTGGCCAGCTCCTCCCTCATGTCTTTGTAGTTACCTTTACTCAATTGTAATGTGTTACATCTGGTTCAAGCTTCTCTCTCAGACTGCAGGGTGAATTTTATCATATTATGGTCACTGTCCCTAAAGGTAAGCACTTGGAACCTTTGTAAACTTCAGCATTAAACATATTGGATTCACAAACGTTCCACTTGCTTGTTGCAACATGATTAGAAATCAACATGTAAATAAACTTCAACAGAATTACTAATCTAAAGTGCCATTCCCTTGCAGTTGTTATCTTCAAGACCAGACGACTGATCTTGAACCACCCAAATCATTCTTTCAAAATAGAAGTGACGTGGTGAGTGGGACATCATCAGTTTCTCTTCACTTTTACAAATCGAATTCCCTGACAAAACACGCGTGAACTATTCACCACGGTGCATCACCAGGTTTATTAATTAAACAATTACACAGATTGAACATTGTGCCTGCCTAGGTCTTGTGAATAGGTCAAATGACAGAATTAAAAATTACTCCATTCCAAACTTTGACAAAGTTATCAGTCTCTATGGTGGTCACAACATTACACAGAATCAGAAATACATAGCAAGTTACTGATGGTACATTTCTAAAAAAAAAATTGTTAAAATATTGATTCAGTTCAAAATTACTTAAAGCAAGTCAGAGAGCATGAAAGGACAGGAATTATGGAGAAAATGGAATGTTAATACATTTTGATGGAAGGGCTGTTTATTTTATATTCACTCGTGGGACATGGGCGTTGCTGGCTCAGACAGCATTTATCGCCAATTTTTATTTCCTCAAGGCGGTGCTGGTGAGCTGCCTTCTCAAACCCCTGCAGTGCACATAATCCCCACATACACTACGGTGTAATCATACAATCTGTTGCCCAGTATCTAAATCAATAAAGAGTCAGGGAGGGTCTGGGAAGATTCTGGTTTGTTCAGATATTTCCATCGAAAGAAAAATTACAAATAAATGACTGTAAAAGGAAACATCTGGGACATAAAGAGAGTCCAATTAGACAAGGGACAAGCCTGGAACATTGGAGTAATTTTTAAGTGTTGTCAAATAAAACCACATGGAATTAACAAAAGGTTAATTTCTTTACTTCTGCACAACCCATTTATTTAACATAAGAGCAGGATTAGGTCATTCAGCCCATCGAGTCTCCTCTGCCATTCAATCTGATCGAGGCTGATTATCCATTACAATGACTTCTTTTTCCTACACCATTCCCATATCCCTTTACGTGATTAACTGATTTCTGAATACTAATCCCTACTTTAAACATACTCAATAACTGAGCTTCCATAGTCCGTACAGAATTCTAAAGATTAACAACCCTGAGTAAATTAACATTTCTTTGTCCTTAGTGGTTTCTCCCTTACTTTGTAATAGTGTCCCCTAGATTTACACTCCTCCATCAGGGGAAACATCTTATGTAAATTTACCTTCTTTATTCGTTTGAGTATTTTGTAGATTCAATAAAGATCACTTCTGATTCTTAGAAAACGTAGGGAAGACGTGGTCAGTTTTCCCAATCTCTCAGTATAGGACAGTCCAGTCATCCTGGGAACAAGTCTGGTGAACCTTTGTTATACTCCCTCTACAGTAATAATATTTCTTGAGAAAGGGAGACCAGAATTGCACACAGTGCTCTGGGTGTGTTCTTACTAAGCTCTGATACAATGGAAAGAAGATGTTCACTATTTTTGTACTCAAATCCTCTTTCAATAAAGCCTAACATTCCTTTAGCCTTCCTAATAGCTTACTTCACCTGCACCTTAGCCTTCTAACTTATTCACAGCATATACAAGTCTGTTTTGTACATCTCCACTTTCCTGAAATACTGCTGTATAAAGCTATCCCTTACATGGCCCGTGGTCTCCCCCTCCATACCATTACTGTTTTTTAGGTTTACCCAGTCGATATGCAGATTGAAATCATCCATGATTACTGTATTACATACTTCTCTAATCTCCTGATTAATACCATGCCAAACACTACTATTACAGTTAGTGAATATAAATAACACTTATCAATGTTTGCCCCCTTACTTTGTTCTACCCCATCAAATTCTACATTTGTTTCTTCCAATCTGAGATCCTCCCATCCTAATGCACCAATCCCATCCTTACTATCAGAGCAACACCACTTCCTTTTCCTTTTTGCATGACTTTCCTAAATGTAACATTTTAGAGACTGAAGTTCGTGATTCACCCAGACGGTAAAAAAAATTGGGGGGTGGGTGCTTTGAAACGTTGAACTTTCGCATTTCCTTTCTCATTGGTCTTAATTCACAGCCTTTCCTCAGACAGACAGGGTCAGCGGTAGGTGTCTTTTCCCTAGGAGGGAGGAATTTCAAGACGGGGCGGGGGCACATTTTTAATGTAACAGGAGGGAGATTTAAAAAAAGACATGAAATTTCTTTTTACACAGAGGGTGGTTCGAGTGTGAAATGAACATCATTTCAAATGAAGTGGTTGGTGTGGGTACAGTTACGTTTAAAAGATATTTGCAAAAGTACACGAATAGGAAAGGTTTGGAGGGATATGGATCAGGGGCAGGCCGGTGGGACTGGTTTAGTTTGGGATTATGTTCGGCACGGACTGGTTGGGCCGAAGGGTCTGTTTCCGTGCTGTATCACAGAATGAAGTTGCTGTTGTGGGGAGTGGGCTGACCGTGTGCCAGCCTCCTGCCCGGGACTGAGACACGTCCCTTCAGCCACTCCCGGCCCCGGCATCTCTCCCCAATCCGCCCAAATAACAGTCAGAGCGGAGCCGAAATTCCCCATTCCCTATTCCTGTTCCTCTGTGTCTCCGCAGCTACTGCCTGCTGAGTTCCTCCAGCACTCTGTCCCTCTGTTCACCTCATTATTCTGTTTTCCCCCCTAATTTCTATGTTATTAATCCCGACCCTTTTTTTCCCCAAGCTGTTTTGGTTTAACATCAGTTCTACTTCTCCCTTATTATCACCCCAGTTCTCACCTTCACTCTCTCCGGAATCTTCAGCCTCTGGATGTTTTCAGTGAGTTGCAGTTGGAAGGGTGTGTGTGTATGATAGAGAGAGAGAGACACAGCAGGTTCCTCAATGCGGCATACAGATATCAGCTGACCCTGAGAAACACGCCCCTCCCACCCAGAACCTCAAACCTTTCCCCCTTCAGTCCTTTCAATGTTTGCAATCCGTCGCACTTCCTCACTATTCCCCAATTCCATACACTCCTGCGCTCCTCTCGTTGTTGGGAATCAGTCTGTCCAGCCGGGAATAAAGGGGTTTCCCGGGGGCGGGAGACCCCGAAACACACATAGATCCCTCTGTCCTTGCTGCCTCTCAGGGTGTGGGGGCTGCCCCAAAACTGGGTAAAGATGGAGAGTCTATTTCATTGATACAACAGATGTAGGCGAGTGAGGGACCCAGAAAGAAATAGTTCTTCTGCAATAATTAACAGGATCCAAAGTAAAACAAGTGATGACATGTCTTTGATCTGAATCATTAACTTTGTCTTGTAGAAGCTGCCCTGAGCTGCTCAGCGATTGCAACATTTCCTAAATTTCTTTCTGCTCTGCTTTATCTGCAGGCACACTGCTTTGTAAAGACTTGATATCAGGACACTGTCCAGGACACCATGTTAGAGATCTCAGCCTCTTCGTTACAACTGACAGGTTTCTGCCCCTCAGCTCAATTCCTCACTAAAATGGAGGTACACACTTGGCCCAGAATCTCCCATTGGGAAAGGTTATGACCAGACTCGGGGTAAGAGGTTTGTTCTACATTGTAATACTCCCAGCAACAGAAACTGCTTTACATCAACATTATAGAACAGTGTAATACTGCCTAACTCTGTGACCACCCCCCCCATGCAATTCATGCCTTTATTATCAATTGACACAACTATTCCAACATGCTCCAAGTGCTCTCCCATGTTCTATACTTTGTTACTTTGAGGAAATTTAACTATTCACTGCCTGCACACTAACCTGTACCAAGTAATGATTCTCAATCACTTCACTGATTCCTGGTCAAGCCCAAGCACAGTGAAAAATTTTGTTTTGCATGCAGTACTGGCAGAACATACCGTAAGATCATAGGGTGATTGAACAGAGTGAGGAATACAAAGTTACAGCTGTAAAGAAGGTGCTTAAAGAGCAAGAACAACATTACATTTGAAATTTGAGAGGTCCATTCAAAAGTCTAATAACAGTGGGGAAGAAGCTGTTCTTGAACTTGTTGGTACATGTGTTTAAGCTTCTATATTTTCCACCTGATGGAAGAGGTTGGTAGAAATTGTAACTGGGGTGGGACGGGTCCTTGATAATGTTGGCTGCCTTTCTGAGTCATCAAGAAGTGTGGATGGAGTCAATGGTTGGAAGGTTAGCTTGTGTGATGGACTGGGCTGCGTCAGAATGGATTGGTCAGAATATAAAGAATGGCAGAGAATAACAGATGTTTGTCAGGAGGAAGCACTTAACATATGACAAAAAGCAAGAGATTTTCTCTCTACAAACCTGCTGAGTTTCTCCAGCATTGTCCGTGTTTATTTCAGATTTCCCACATCTGCAGTAGCTTGATTTTATTACTGAGAGTTTCCACAGGTATTTTAAAAGCAAAGCATGAGTAAAAGCAGAGTTGGTTCACTGGAGAATGAGAATGGGAAGGTAATAGTAGATATTAAGGTAATAGAACGTGAAATGAACAATTATTTTACTTCTGTCTTCACCACAAAGTAAAACAAAAGCATTCCATTAGTAGCTGTAAATCAGATGGTAGAAAGGGAAGAGGGACATAGCGCAATTACAATCAGGATGGAATTGATACTGAGCAAAGTGATGGAACTGCAGACTGACAAGTCTCAAGGTTCAAATGGGTCTTAAAATAGATTATTAATGAGGTAGAATATGCATTGGTGATAATTTTATTTTAAAAAAATCCTCAATTCAGGAAAGGTTCCATTGGACTGGAAAGTAGCAAATATAACCCTGTACTTGAGAGGGGAGGGAAACAGGAAACTATAAACCAGATAGCTTGTTAAGAGCAGCACAGTGACTCAGCAGTTAGCAATGTTGCCTCACAGCGCCAGGGTCCTGAGTTTGATTCCAGCCTGGGGTGACTGTCTGTGTGGAGTTTGCACATTCTCCCCGTGTCTGTGTGAATTTCCTCCGGGTGCTCCAGTTTCCTCCCACAGTCCAAACTTGTGCAGGTTAGGGTGGATTGGCCATACTAAATTGCCCCGGAGTGTTCAGGGATATGCAGGTTAGGTGGATTATCTGTGGTAAATGCAGGGTTCAGGGATAGGGTCAGGGGCTGGATCTGGGTGGGATGCTATTTGAATGGTTGGTGCAGACTTGATGAGCTGAATAACCCCTTTCTGCACTCTAGGGATTCTATGAACTGTCAAAAGGAAGGTGTTAAAATCTATTATTAAACAGATTATAGCTGTGCACTTAGGAAATCCCGAGTTAATTGGGAACAGCCAGCATGGTTTCACCAAAGGGAAATCATTTTTAAGCAATTTATTAATGCTGTTTGAAGGAGTAACATGCCTTGTGGATAAAGGGTAGCCTGTGGACATAGCAGACTTGCATTTTCAGAAAGCAATAAATAAGGTGCGGAAAATAAAACTGCCTGGTATAGTTGGTGACTATGAACATGGAGAGAAGATTGGCCGGCTGGCAGAAAACAGAGGGCACATAGGCTGTTTTTGATTGGCAGAATGCATCAAGTGGAGTTCCACAGGGACCTGTGCTGGGGGGGATCAATATATGGTTTGGTTTCTGAGGAAAGCTTGGACAGGTTGGGGTTGGTTTCCACTGAAGTTTAGAAAAGTGAGGGGTGACTTGATAGAAGTATGTAAGATCCTGAATCGTGTTGATAAACTGGATGTGGGTGAATATTTCCTCTTGTAGTCCAGAACTAGGGACATGATTTTAAAAGCAGGGGTCACCTTTTTTGGGACAGAGATGAGCAGAGTTTTTCTCTCTGAGGGTTGTGTGACTTTGGAAGGTAGTGGAGGTGGGACCTTTGAATATTTTTAAGCTAGAAATGAATAGATTCTTGTTCGGCAGGTAATTGAAGGTAATCAGGGGTAGGTAGGAGTATGGAATTCAAAACACACCCAGATCAGCTGTAATTTTATGAATGGCAGAGTAGACTTGAGGGGCTGAATGGTCTACATTTGCTCATGTTTTCTATGATTGTGCATACATTGTTTTTAAATCTCTGCATGATCTTGCCCCTCCTATGTCTGTGATCTTCCTCAGTCTTGTAACCCTCAAAAATATCGGCATCTAGTCCTCAGCTCTTGCACATCCCTAAGTTGATTCCTTCCACCCTCAGCTGCTTTAGCTCCAAACCCTGGAATTCCCTCCTTCAACATCCTTGCACCTTTCCCACTCTCTCCTCCTTTACAACGTTCCTACCTCTTCCACCAAGTTTATTTGATAAAGCTCCTTTGAAGAGCCCTGTGATGCTTTTGTTTGTTAAAAATGCTCTACAAATCATATCTACAAATCTACAATCATATTATGTATGAACATCTATTCTCTGTTGCCCTAGGCTGGCCTTGTAAATCTAAATCACTCTGCACCCATGTGCCCCTTTCTCTCTATTTGTGAAAGCTGCCCACAGACCATCAGGTTGAATAATAGGTAATGATCCCGCTCCTGCTCTCTCCCATTACTGGGCAGTTTAATGGAAGTTGGAAGTTGGGACAGATGAGGAGAAGTGTTTGAGCTCACTCACTTTGAAGCTGCAGATATGTTCAGATATTTTTAACAAAGTTGAGAGACTGAGAGCTATGGAGGAAAGAATGATTAGTGAATATACTTAACAGAATTTTCTAAAAGCTACATACAAAAATATAAATCAAAAATGTTAACTGTCACAAATGGATACTTAGACTATTACATGCATTTTTAAAGAAATCTGGTCTGTTTTTAAAGTAGACATAAGGAGTTGTACAAATTCATTCCCAAAAACCACATGACTTCTCCTGTAGCTTCAACTACAATCAAAAAGCAATTAGCATGTGTTGTCTTAAAAATCAATTGCAAGGTATGAAAGAATACAGAAATGGTGGAAATAGTTTCCCTTGATCTATTTCACCAAATTGCTGTCACTTTAAGCACCTCAATCAGATCATTCTCAATCTCCTGTACTTGAGAAAATTCAAGACTAGTCTACACAATTTGTCCTCACAATGTAATCTTTTATCCCAGGGTTCATCCAGGTGACTTTGTGCTGCACTCCTTTCCAGGGTCCTTCCTGAGATTGCCAGGCCCAGAACTGAGTTCAGTTACTACAGACGGATGAAGACTGTGTTGAACTGAAAGATCATTTCCACCTGTTTGTATTCCAGTCCCTTTAGATTCAGAGGGAAGCGGCTCTCCACATAAAGGGTTGTGAGAATCTATAACTCCCTTGTCCTGACACACAAAACAGTGGCAGCATTAACGTTTGCAATAGAGGCTGTCATATAGCCTCCTCTACATCAGTGAGACCAGGGGGAGGCTTGGAGATCGCTTTGTAGAGCACCTGCGCTCTGTCCGTGACAACACCTTCCGGTCGTGAACCACTCCCACTCCCACTCCCACTCCCACGGTGACATGTCCATCCTGGGCCTCCTCCAGTGTCACAACGACACCACCCGCAAACTGGAGGAGCAGCACCTCATATTCCACCTTGGGAGCCTACAGCCCAATGGCCTAAACGTGGACTTCACCAGTTTCAAAATCTCCCCATGACCAACTCTCCCTCTCATCCCCGCCTCCTTGACCTGCCTACCTGCACTCACCTATCACCATCCCACCTACCTCCCCCAGCCCCACCCCTCCTCTCTCTATTTATTTCACAGCTCCCTTCTCCCTCCTCCTTTTCTGAAGAAGGGTCCTGACCCAAAAAGTCAGCTTTCCTGCTCCTCTGATGCTGCCTGGCCTGCTGTGTTCCTCCAGCTCCACACTGTGTTATCTCTGACTCCAGCATCAGCAGTTCTTACTATCTCTGATTAAAGTTTGCTATTGTGGAGTAACAGCATTTCAATAGGGAGTAAAGGCATTGGAATGCATTTAAACCAACCATCCCTTTGAGGGGTTCCTGCATATGCTGTTGGCATACGTGTATTCTTACAGATGTGACTCTCCATCATGGGAGCTGATGCTGGGATGGCTGCTGCATTACTGCATTTGAGATGAGCTAAAAATAATGATTTACAACAGCAATGTCCAAAAAGATCAGAACAAGATTTAATGGATGGTGAGACAGTCTCAGCAGGAGACTGGATTGCAACTCGAAACCAGATGATGTCAGGAGGAAATGGGATCAATAGAAATCAATCTTAATAAAGAATAACAGAAAGTAGTGTATGCACATCATGTGAAAGATCCTTAATAACAAACACTTGGAGCACTTTGGTGGAGACTGGAGGATGCAAAGAGACTGTCTGCTGAGTCATCAGAGAGCAGGAATCTGTGTGCTAATTATTGTAATGTGAACAATCAATAATTAATCAGTGAGAACATAACCAATCATTACAGCATTAGCTGTAGCTCCACGGGAAGGAATCTTACTTCACAGAAAGCTGTGAATTTACACACTAGCAAAATGGGAGCATTAACATAGTCTCAGTGCAACACTGAGGGGGTGCCACACAATCAGAGAACCAGTACTCAGAGAATGACGCACTATTGGAGGGTCAGTGCTGAGGGAGTGCCACGCTGTCGGAGGGTCAGTGCTGAGAGAGTGCCGCACTGTTGGAGGGTCAGTGCTGAGGGAGTGCCATACTGTCAGAGGGTCGGTACTGAGGGAGCGCCACACTGTTGGAGAGTCAGTGCTCAGGGAGTGCCACACTGTCGGAGGGTCGGTGCTGAGGGAGCGCCGCACTGTCAGAGGGTCAGTGCTGAGGGAGCGCCACACTGTCGGAGGGTCAGTACTGAGGGAGCGCCGCACTGTCGGAGGGTCAGTGCTGAGGGAGCGCCGCACTGTCGGAGGATCAGTGCTGAGGGAGTGGGCACTGTCGGAGGGTCAGTGCTGAGACAGCCACACCATCGGCGGGTCAGTGCTGAGGGAATGTAATACTGTTAGTGGGACTATCTTTTGCACAACTTGCTGAACTGAGGGTCTGAACATGTTTTGTGGAAGATATGAAGACAGGGTTTGTTGGAAAGATTTAGGTGAGAAGTGTCTGTGAACTGTTTAAGGCCAATTAAGCACTTAGTGTTGTGAGGGAGGTGATTTGGCTATCATGTTTGTACTACGTTTTTAAAGGAATAATGCCACGTGTTCCACTCCCCTCTTGATTCTTCAGTGAAAACTGCGTCTTCAATAACAGTAAAATATTCTATTTTAATTGAGATTTTAACCCAATAAGGCTTCATGTTTTGCTTCACAGGAGCGTTACATAATCAATTGTGACATCAAACTACAATTCTGCTATAACACGATAGTTGCGTTCCTGTGCAACATCGCATTATAGAAAATTGTCCTATAGAAATAACAGGCCTATGGAAAAAGTGGGGTTAGGGGCAGACCACCAAAAAAAACCACTCAAAATCGCTCAAAAATCACATAACAGCCTAACACATAGGATAGCACAATTTTTATAAATGTTTAATTCATATCTAATAATGAAATAAAAGTAAATTTAACAATTTACCTTGAAAACATGGGGGAGGAGGTTGTGCTGTACCTCTCACAGAAAGCTCTTGACAACAAAGCCCATGAAATGATCACGTGATACTAGCGCAGAGATTTTTTTTTCCTTTATTCATTCATGGGATGAGGGTGTTACTGGCTAGGCAGCATTTATTGCCCATCCTAAATTGCCCAGAGGGCAGTTTAGAGTCAATCACATTGCTGTGAGTCTGGAGTCACATGTAGGCCAGACCAAGTAAGGATGGCAGTTTCCTTCCCTAAAGGACATTAGTGAACCCGATGAGTTTTTCCCTCAACAATTGACAATGGATTCAGGGTCATCATTAGATTCTTAATTCCAGATATTTATTGAATTTAAATTCTACCCACTGCTGTGGCAGGATTTGAATCCAGGTCTCCAGATCGTTATCTGGGTCTCTGGATTAACAGTCCAGCGATAATACCATTAGGCCATTGCCTCCCCCCTGTTTCAGCACTAACACTGTACATATGCATGACGAAGCCTGTGAAACAATGGTGTGATATTGATGTGTACACCTTCACCCACCAATGGAATCATGTTATAGCCAGCACAAGTTCACATTTTAGAAATAGTGTTCCCCTATTCATCAATCACTCTACAGCCTATTTGCATTGCCAGAACATGCATTACAGCAGAACCGCCTGTACAATGTTAGCACATTAGGATATTCTGAAAACTGTGTATCCTCTTGTTTAGTTGCCAGAAGAATATTGTAATTTCTGGGATATGTTGTTCTTTCAGGCACTTTGTCACTCCCAGTGGATTGTTTGCTGCATGTATCAATCATTGATAACACATCGCTTTGGGTTAAGAAATCAGATGAAGTCAGTTTTGTTTTTTGAGCATTCACAAGGGAACCATCATTAATTATTTGAAAACCAAGGTGTTTAGCTTGGTCAATGGTAAAGATTAGTCATTTACAGATTTGCTTTTTGCAGTTCACCAATCAGAGAACTTTGTGTCAGGAATGAGTCTGATCAGACAGCTCATTCAGTGAGCCAGTACAAGCATGCTGTGCTGAATGGCCTTTTGAGCTGTATCATTCTCTGATTCTTTGGACAGAATGCTTTCCTTATAAACACACAACAAATGGGAGGAAGGGGTGAAGACCCCAGAGGTCTTTCTCTTGGAGAAGTGACAGCAGAAACCATCACATATTCTCTCAGAATGATAAACAGAAAGTGCTGAAGAAACTTAGCAGGTCTGGCAGCACGTGTGAAGAGAGAAACAGAATTTACCATTTTAAGTCTGGTTCATCTCTTGTTCAGGAACCATTTCCACCAGTGAAGAAGCTGAGTGATCAGCAAAACTAGATCATTGATTCA